GTGTGGCCAGCTCAGCCCACCAGGGGGCAGGGCTGGCTGGCATGTGGTGCTGGGGGATTGAACCGTGGTCCCTGTGCTTTGCTTAGCTTAGCTTGATCTAAGTAGGTGCTTTAGACCACTGAGCCATCTCACCAGCCCCAATCTTGCAAACTTCTGCAAGAGAAAAATATTTAGCCTAAATGATCAAAAATGAGAATTCACAATCTAACGTTAGGCTAAGATTTAACTGATCTCAACTGGTACCCTTCACACCTGCCTGGAGATGCCGGCATGGCATAGTGTGCACACTGCTGTATGTTTTATACTGAACTGTAACATTATCCAAGAATTAAAAAGATAACAGACCTAGCAACTAACTAGTATGTGTATCCCTCAACTATGACTCACTTAGGACAAAAACAACTGACGAGGAATTTTACAGACACTCTTACAGGTTCAAAAAAAGTTTTTTTTAAAAAAAAAAGGGGGGGAGGGGGAAGGAATAAAGAAAAAAGTATTTTTGTAGTATTTCATTTCCTTTTAATTTTTCAATATCATATGAAAGATACAAAGTAACAGCATGCAGACCAGATTCTACATCTCTGAAAGACCTAAACAATATTCTGTCCCAACCAAAGCCCTATTCAGATACTGCTCCTGGGGCTGGAGGTATAGTTCCGTAGCAGAGCACATGTTTAGCTCGTGCACCGTGGGTTCCACATGCATTACGTGCACATGTGTACACACACACACAGTACTTGATCATACATGTATCTTCTAAAACATATCTATTTAATTCAAAAACATCAACAGGTCTCACACTACTTTTTTTGTTTTGCTTTGTTTTTCTGGAGTATTTCATTTTGGGTTTTGGTGGGGGGTTTTGGCAGTAGTGATGACTGATCCCAGGTCTTCACACATGGTAGCCAAGAGCTCTATCATTAAGTCTAATTTTCCTAGTACATTCTCTTCATCAGGACAAATGCTTTCAGATTTGATGCCCAGCATCAAAAAGAAAAACAACTTCTAAAAACTATGCTTGACAGGTGTACTGGTTGATACACTGTGTCAACTTGAGAAGTTCTAAGTTTAGAAGCTTAACTAAGTCACTCAGCAGGGGGTTAGGGGCCTGACTGGAAACATTTTGAGCCTGTGCAAGAAAGCAGGAAGATGACAAGGGGACAGCCCATTCTACATGAGGGGAGAAAAGAAGCTTGCATCCGCCCTCCCTTGGCTCTGGTTGCTTCTGCTATCTTCTATTGCCCTGAATTGTTACCCCTCTGCCATGTGCCACTCTGTCTTGGAGCCGGCTGACTGAAACCTCCACAAACTATGAGCTAAATAAACCTTTCTTTCCTTAATCTTGGGCATCATGTATTTTCAGCAATGAGAGAGTAACCAAAACAGATATCAAAACAGCAGAGACACAGACTCAAATGTCTTTCCAATGGCTTCTCTACAGAGGGTGCTCTAACGCTACCACCCAATACGAGGATACGAAGGACATGATAAAAATTTGTACAGCTCTTTTCTACCATAGGTTACAAAGGTACTCTTCAGTATTTTCTTCTAGTAATGGTACAATTTTACCTTTCATATTTAGGTCTGTAATCTCTCTAGAGCTAATCTTTATATGTGATATAAGAAACACATCCAGTTTTATTTTCCTCTGTACAGTAATTCATTCTTTTGGGTTTTTTTTTTTTTTTTTTTTTGCGGAACCCGGGATTGAACTAAGGCCCTTAAACTTGCCAGGGAAGCGCTTATTCCACTGAGCTATCTTCCCAGCTCCCGGTAATCCAGTTTTCAAAACATAATACGCTGAACAATTTGCCTTTTCTCTATGCTTTGCAAAGCATTTGTGTGTGTCTGTGTGGTTGTTGTTGTTGTTGTCATCGTTGTTCTTTTCCAATACTGGGGATGGAACTCAGGACCTTGTTCTAGCCAGGAAGTCACTTATGCCGCTGAGCTAAATCCCTGGCCCTCTCTATGTTTTGTGGCAGAAAGATTTTTAATATCATCAAAAACTAAGTAGAGGAAAGTAAAAGTGTGTTGAAAAAGTTAGAAACAGGAAAAAAACAAAAGGGAAGAAACTCAAGCATATACAGATGTTTAGAAGCTTATCAAAAGAAGGATAATGAATAAATGAACTTATTGCCAAATTTCCTGATAAATTAACTTATTTACTAAGGTATACAGGAAGCAAATAGCAAATAACAACTACACTAATTTTCTAAATACACACGACCTCAAAATTGCTCAGGAAATGCTTTATTTATAGCATATAACCTCATAAGCAGTTTCCAGAAATAAAACCATCTTCTAGTAACCAATTAGATGGATTATATTTCTTTCTTTTTTTTTTTTCATCTTTTATTTATTTGGTACAGGGCCTTGTTACACAGCTCAGACTCCTGTCTGTCTCAGGCTCCCCTCTAGTGAAACTCTAATCTCAGCCTCCCCAGTGCTGGGATTACAGGTGCGTGCCACCACACCCGGTTTAGATAGCCTGCATGTGGTATTGGTACTGGGGAATGACCGTGGGTCCTTGCGCTGGCCAGGCAGGTGCTTAGACCACCGACCTATCTCCCTGGCCCAGATGGATTATATTTCACTTACATTTACTCTTCTTTAAACTGAACAAAAATGAAAATAAACCAAAGATACGGGTACAGAAGACTATTTTCTAAACTTTCATTTTCCCTGAAAATGGGAATTTTCAAATCACTTTAAAATATTTTTATTAGTTTAGCACCTATATCAGATTTTTTGAAACAAGAATTTATAACTTTTTATCCCCTAATGACAATGAAACAAAAAGGTAAATTATTCTCCACAAGAACATTGTAAAACCATACCTTTTATTTTCAGCCAAATTTGCTCCTTCATCCTTTAGCTGTCTGCTTTTCTCTGCACAGTCTTCAAGGAGAATTTCCTTCCTGCGTTTATTGGCGTGAAGCCAATTCCCGTCCTCATTCTCAACCACATCCTTCTCATCAGCGGCTTCGGCTTCAAACTGCTGCGAAGTCGCCTTGGAGACCTTCTCACCGATTTTCCTCTTCCACCCAAAGGAAGCCATTCTGCAAAATCACAAAGAAGGAGCTTTAAAACTCAACTTGGCCTTTCATAGAAGTATAAATAAATGAACTGATAGGAAAAGAAGGAATAACAGACAAGACTATCACCATTTTTAAACCAATAGTTAGGGGACCCAGGCCATTACAAAGCACTCCTAAATCACCTGGACATTACTGCACCTCCTGAGAGAAGCTCCACCCCACCCATAAAGTACTTTGAAAAAAGTCCTAAATCAGATCAGGTTTACAAGTTTACAAACCTACCAGTTTACAAGAAATCCTGGACATAGGTATGCATGCTCGATAACACTGGACATGCAGGCAGTACAAAACTAAAGAAAAATAAAACTAGTTTCTTTAAGAAATAAACTGCTATAGAATGACGTGTTACAGTTTGTGTCTAATTGTCCCCCAAAAGCCTCAGGCAGTCCTGGGGAGGCTCCTGGAGTTTGTGATTGATTATTGTGGGTGTGGATACTGCACCTGCCCTGGGGCAGGTAATCTGCATTACAATGTATGAGGGCAGGGAAGCCAGCAGCTGCTGACCAGCCTTGGAGCCAGCTGAGTAGGGACTGAAACCTCCAGTAACTATGAGCTAAATAAAGCTCTCCTTCCTTCATTTTGGGTATCTGTCCCAGCAACGAGGCGAAGAGTAACTAAGACAAGAGGGAATGGGGAAAAAGGCAGAATCTTCTAGATTAAAAGAGATTTAAGAAGGGCCAGGGAGATGGCTCAGTGGAATAAGTGCTTCCCTGGCAAGCACAAGGGCCTGAGTTCAATCACCAGTTCCGGAGAAAAAAAAAAAAAAAAGAGATTTAAGAGAGGCAATAACTGAAAACCATGTGGAGCTCTTGTTTCAATCCCAAATCAAAATGCCAGTGACGAAAACGCATTTAAGAAGAAGAAATGTCAGAACGCTGATTTGTTATTTGGCCACACTAAGGCATTATTGCAATATTGTAGGCGCAATTATAGAACTGTGACAGTCCATGAGAAGAACCCTTTCCCCTCCGCACCACCTGCCACACTGGCCCCACCTCCGCCTGTAATCCCAGCACTGGGAGGCTGACAACAGGAGGATCACCAGGACTCCAAGCTGCGAGCTGAGTAGTGACACCCTGTACCAAATACACTGAAAAAAACAAACCTTTTGTGAGACATCTGTGGGTTGGTTTTTTTTTACAGGTTTTCCACTGTAATGAAATTTCCCCCAAACATCCTAATTACAACTATTATAACAAGAAATGCATAAAGGTCCCCTTTTACAGGTCTTGTCCTCAGGATTCTGCTCAGAGCTCTCACCATCTTCAAACACCCCTCCCTGCTACTCTGCAGCTATGGCTCTAGGGCAGCCAGGGAATGGCCTTTGTGCAACATTTGAAGAAGAGAAAACAATAGGCAAGGAAGGAAAGGAAGGTAATAGAGGATAACAGGGGACAATATGATCAAATATAATATATCTGCGCATGAATATGCCACAAGGAAATTAATTACCCTGCACTATTCACGTGTACTAGTAAAAAGTACAAACACTAACCCATAAATCCTTTTAAAAAATTACTGTTTAGAAACATACTAAAACATTTCACTATCAAATTATATCTAGGAATTTTTCGAAGTTAAAAGAGTAGAGACCACAGTAAAGTAGATCTAGATGAAATAAGATTGAACTGATAAGTAATGAAATTGAGAGATGGGTATATACAATTCATTGCATTTCTCTCATGCTGAAATCTCCCATAATTAAAACAAAACTTTAGAAGACATAAGCTTGATGAGTGACTTAGTTCACAGAACTAGTAGTAAATCAAAAAATAATGAATGTTAAACTGCTTGTAAATCTGTAATAGAATACAAAGTAAATAATAATAATAATAATAATAATAATAATAATAGATAAGAGAACAAAATTAAAGAAATTCTCAGGCCGGCCTGATAGCTCAGTGGATTTAAGTGCCTGCTTAGGCAGATCAGGGGCTGGGGTTTGATCCCCAGCTTGCCATGCCAGCGCTGGCCCTGCACTCAGCATGTGCTGAGATGGCACTTGAGACTGGGCGTGGTGGCATGCGCCTGTAATACCAGCGCTTGGGAGGTTGAAAAACAGGAGGATCACTGCAAATCCAATCTTTGTAGTGAGACCCTGCAGATCCTGTACAATGAACCAGAGACCTTTTTAAAACTATCAAAGAATGAGCATTATGAGGAAGGGAAGGAGAGAGATGAAATACAACAATGGTCTAACAATTATCAAGATTTTAAGGGGCCTGTTTGGTTTTTGAGACTGGGTCTTGCTAGGTAGCCCAGGCTGGCCTCTAATGCAGCAATCTTCCTGCCTCAGTGTCCTACATACTGAGATTACAGGCATGCGTCACCATACTCAGCCTAGCCATCAAGGTCTTCATCACAGACCTATATGGCTGAAGTCAAATAAAAATAGCTGGAAGGAAAAGAACTAAAAAAAAAAAAAAAAAACAGAGGTGACTGTGAGATTACTCACATGGAAAAGCCCAAAATAACAGTGGGATATGGCGTGCAAAGAATATTGTGTACAATGGGGCCCATGTTCTCAGGAATAGGAGCAAGCACCAATAAATTACAAGAGTCAAGAAATAGGTTCACTGGCAAGTGCAAGGGTCTGAGTTCAATCCCTGGTTCTGGGAAAAAAAAAAAAAAATAGGTTCAATGTGTTCACGGCTTGGTCCACCAGCCCGTGGCATTACAGGGAGGCTGTGAAACTTGTCAGAGGTGGAACCGGGAAGACAGCTAAGTCACTGGAGATGCGCCCTCAAGAAAGTATTAGGCTCAGAGCTCCTCCTTTCTCTCTTTGCTTCTAGGCCACAATGAAGCAAGCAGGCTCCTCCTCCAAGCCTTCTGGCTATCATCCTGTCCTGCTCCATGACAGGCCCCAGAGGAACTGAGCCAACCATGAACCAAAACAAACTGTTCCTCCTTAAGAAAAATAACATAATATAACATAAATAAAAATATAATCTACAAGTAAAGCACATGCTTTACATGAGAGTAATTTTTCACAAAACGTGGAAAGGTAACAAATGATAAATTGTGCTAGGGAATTAGGACAATGCAAACTCCCCAAACCTGTCATAATATTTCCTCTTTAGATAACTACATACATCCTAGAAGAAGTAGTGAGAAATGGGTGACAATGGAAGAGTGGTTACACTGGATCACAAGCCCAGAGTCACACAATGAAGATAACTTGGAAGCATGCATCTCACAAAAGCTTCACAAGGTATCAGAGGAAGACAAGATTAAGAAGAAATCTTGCACGGAATACTGTCCCTTGAGGTACCAAGAATAACTAAATTCTGTGGCTTCAAGTTCCCAAATGGAACTTTGTTTCTGTATTAGTAACATGGGACACCAGGCAGCATAATAGCTCTATTAATAGAAACAGAAGCCTGGTTTATTTACTGAAGGCAAATTACATCAGAAATCACTGGACATGTCTGTTGATTATTAAAAGCACAGTTAGGATACAGAGGTATGGAGAGATTCACATTTATTTTTTAAAAAATTCATAGGTAATTAAGACTCTCATTACCCTTGCCTATCTTGCAACCCAAACCACTGTTATAACTGCTAAAGACAGGGTTATCAACCATGTAGAAAAAACCCACATACCGTTGCCTCAGGTGTGTCATTTCTCTGCCAACACACCTCCAGTCCCCACATTCCTTCAGATCAGGCTGTAAGAAGTCAGGATGGAATAAAGCTATACAGGTATATCAAGCCTGAACACACAAAAATTTGCCAAGTTCCACCTTGAAGAGAAATTCAACAATAGATTCCTTACAGACAAAAGAGAAATTAATACACAGTGACAAGTACAGGAAAGTTCAAGGTTTGAAGGAAACAAAAGTAAAGATTTCAGGCTGGGGAGACAGCTCAGTGGTTTAAGCACCTGCCTGGCAAGCACAAGGATTGGGATTTGACCCCCTACAAGTGCCAGCCTCAGAATGCCAGGGTGTGTTGTGCTGGCTACCAAGACCAGGTGTCGTGGTGCATGCCTGGAATCCCAGAGCTGCGGAGGCTGAAACAGAAGGTTCACTACAAGTCCAAGCAAGACCCTGAATCAAATAAATAAATAAAAGATTTATTTTTAAAGTGAGGATTTCATGTCCTACCCCTACATACTTCTGAGGGAAATAGAAAGTAATCACCTGTTAAAAGTAAAGGAAAAAGGAAAAAACAAAAGGTACAGGAAAACTAAATGGATCTAAGCACTTCTGAAAAAATGAAAAAAAAAATTAAGTAATCACAGAGATTAGAAAAGATGCAGACAATAAGAGAGGTGTAAAAACTGCAAATGGTATCAAAAGCATACTGAGGTTAAAAGCATAGATCTGTCACCAATGCCATTAGCAGCTTTATATTCAAAACTGGAGAGAGCAGCCAATTATAATACAGAGTAAGTATAATAGAGTAATGTTTATATAGAATAATGTTCCTCTCTATAGCTCAGAAAGGACATATCAGGCTCTATAGAAGACTCAATCTTCAGTGAATAAAAGTTTATGCAGGGCCAGGCAGACAGCACAGCGGTCGAAAGTGCCTGCTTAGGCAGAGCACAGATGTTGGGGTTTGATCCCGGGGTGCCTTGCTGGCCCAGCCCTCCAGGCACGCTGAGACAGCTATTGACACTGGACGTGCCTATAATCCCAGCGCATGGTAGGCTGAAAACAGGAGAATCACTAGACTTGAGTACGAAATACAATACGTAGTGAGACCCTGTAGACCTTGTCCTAAATACAGAAGAAAAAAGCAAGTTTCTGTGACTTAAGGGAGATATACAGAACACTTTCCCCCAGGAAAAATGAATGCTGAATTGATTCAGACAGCCTAAATGGTGCAGAGGATCAGGTGGAGAACAACTACCAGCAGTTGGTGAGTCTTGTGTGGTTCACCTGTGACACAGACACAACTCTGTGAACATACTAGTAGCGAATCAAGTGTATGTACACTTTTAAAGAGTGAATTCTGACACATCAATTATATTTTAATAAAGCTGAGTTTTTAAAAATATAAAAATGGTAGGGGGCCGGGGAGAAGGCTCAGTAGAATAAGCGCTTGCCTGGTAAGCACAAGGGCCCAAATTCAATCCCCGGTTCTGCAAAATAAATAAATAAATAAAATAAAATAAAAAATAAAATAAATAAAAATAAAAATGGTAGGAGTTTATTGTTCCTCTGAGGTTAATTTTGCCTGAATATAAGGTTAAAATTTCTTAGAAAATCAGCTTCCCTAAATCTACAATTAGATACAGAAAACACCAACATCCTAGTCTTAGCTTGTCAACTGAATAACAAAACATAACACATTTATACGGGTTTCACATTAAACTCGTTAAACCCAACAGGTCCAACACTTTCGACAGAATCATATTTAATGTGTCGTAGAAATTCTAAACAATGACGTCGTGTTCCAAATTCTCGCGCTGCACACCCATTTCTACAGCAGGCGCCCGACTACTCGGCGCCTGACCCGGCAAGGAGTTGCCCCGCGCTTCTGGCAGAACACAACGCCTCGCTGGTCTGGACTGCGCCGCGGGATGCACGGACCCAAGAAACCACAGCAGCAGCAGCATCCTCCTGCATAAAGAGGATGCGGAGGTGAGGATTTCCAAAACGATTCACCCAGAAATGCCACCGTAGGAGAGACAACAGTATCAGCCACTGTCTCTTCCTCAGCCAACAACAACAAAAGTGTTGGTAAGGACAACGCTCCGACGCTGCCCGGCGGCACCTGCGAGCGCAGCGGCCGGCCTCGCCCGCCTCCTCCGCGCCCGCAGAGCGCTCAGCCGGCGGCGGGCGGCGATGCAGGCAGGGCCCGACCGCGGCCTGGCTTCTCCCTCGAGACCAACCTCGGCGCCTCGCTCCTCTCGCCGCAGCACCCGCTCGCCTCCTCACCCTCCTCTTTGGTTTTGCACCGCCGACGCGCCAGCCCCAGTGACCGGATAACCGCTGTCTCAGTGTTTACATTCCGCTTGCCCTTTGGTCGCCGGAAGCGGAAATCATCACTCCTGATTTATTAAGGTAGCATCCATCCGTGTTTGCTACGGGTCGGCTATGAAACAGGCTGAGCCACCGCGGAGGCGTCGGAACAACGCAGAGGAAGTGGGGTAGAAGAATGGATTGTTAAGCTTGTTCCTTGGCCGACAGTGCCTGCTCCAGGGCCACACATCCCAGAAGTCTCTGCGGTGACCCACCGCATTGCCTTCTGGGATTTGTAGTCACGGCCGCTAGGCCCGGAGTGCTCGCTAGCGACCGTGGGAGCGAAGAGCGCGCGGGCGCCGCGGCGCCTCAAAGTGCGGCTGCGCCGACGGGAGCCCGAGGCGCGTACAATGCGACGTGGGTCCCCCGATCTTGAGGAGCGTTCAAAGGCTTAACAAGTGATGCTGCGCCGAGGGCGTTTCCCGTTTAGCCAGATGCCAAGCAGACGAACACAGTTAAAAAACTGGCTTGAGAAAGGTGTAAAACAGTAAGGTCGTGACTGGACTGCGGCCTTCAAGGGGAATTACCGAATACACTGCACCCAGAGGAGGGAATTACGAGACCTGAGATTAGCCTTAGGTCGTGCCCTGAAAACAGGTGGGCGAATGTTAACGCAGGCGTGTGTCTAGGAAACAGAAAAATGAAGCATCTTGACTGGTCACATAGCCATACTGCGCAAGGGGAAGAGCCGGCTTGGAGACCCGGCGTTTTCAGCTTCGGTTCCAGGGCAGATTAACGTTTGGACCAGAATAGCTCTTTCCTGGGCAAAGGAGCAGTCGTGTCCTCACGACGCTCTTCAGCAGGGCCGGGGACACAGCTCTTCAGCACAACCGCCTGCCTGGAGAGCGCAAGGTCCTGAGCTTGATCCCCGGAACAAAAAAAAAAAATTACAGAGTACTTCAGCTACATACTGAAATATTATGATGTCTGAGAAAAGCACATGTGTGACTCCATTACAAACTGAAGTAGACGCTTTTCATGGAACACTAGGACTGACAAATTAGTTATTCAGACTTGGAGCAAAAAAGAGACTATTCAAGAAAACGATTGTGTACGTATTATCAAGATAAAACTCAATATTGTAAGATGTCACGATTCGGAAAAATTGCACTCACCATGAGTGACAGCCGCCTGATACTTTGTGAGGCAGTAATGAAACTATCAGATACGATTTGTATTTATTGTCAGAGTAAATATGCATTAGCATTTGTCAGTTCCGTAGGGTTTTTTATTTAATGTGTGTGTGTGTGTGTGTGTGTGTGTGTGTGTGATCTTTTGAGAGGGGCTCTGGCTGTGACGCTTAGTCTAGCCTTAAACTCACTATGTAGCCTACACTGGTCTCAATCTCCCTGCAGTCCACCACACCCAACTCTGAACCAGTGTTTTCAAAATAACTATTAAAAAATTGTGGGAGCCGGCATCCAATGATGCTCACTTCTGGCATTCATCCTCTTGTGTAGTTGGTACCCACACTGTACAGGACAATTTATGGAACAGAAGCAGAGTGGTATGATTTAGGTGGTGACAGTGTTTCTTAATCTGGGTACAGGTCAATAAAGCCCATGTAAACCTGAACATTGAAAATTAAGAGCCAAATACTATACTTAGGGTTATACTTTTCTATAAATAGTGCTTTCATGGCAGGCACACAAGAGCATAGTTTAAAATGAATAATTTGCCAGGTGTGGTGACACATCTGTAGCAGGAGGGCTGTTGCAAGTTCAAGACCAGCTTGGGCCACAAAGTGAGCTCAAGGCCCACCTGAACTGCATAGTAAGACCCTGCCTCAAAAAGACAAAAAAATAACATGGAGAAAAAACATTCTCTCAGGCTTTCACAGAGAGCACATTGGCCAAGCAACTGCCATGACTCATCCACATGGCTGACACTGACAAAGGTTCTACAATCTGAGGTACAGGATCTCAGGATCAGACCCAAAAGCTACAACTCTTGTTGCACAGGTCCTGCTTTACCTTGGTCTTAACCATCCCGCAGAAAAGTATAAAAACGAAGTATAAGAAGTAAAGCCACGCTGTTATGTTCAGCTGTAGGGGACTCAGGTCAACAATTTCTGACATTGCCAGTGAAGTGGAAGACCCAATACTATTATGGGCTACTGGACTCTTTTAGAATATTTTGCTGAGTTAGCACACCTATAATATTCAAATAACGGAACTAAACCAAAAAAAGGGGATACAGATGAATGTCCATTTTGTATCTGTGCATTCAAAATGGTTAGGATAGATATATAGTTACATTCTCTTAATGAATAGAGGGATTTGTTCTAATAGTGTTTGTAAATAGGATATGTCTGCATCTTGTACTGCAATTAACCACTAGGAAGAGTATGCAATGTGTTAATTATTGAAACTGTCCTACCAATTTGGTTTGAAACTGTCTCATTGCTATGTTTCTCAATAAAATTATGGGGAAAAAAGACAAAAAAAAAAAAATAACTTGCTTTAGGCTGTGTCCCTTTTATAGGATTCTTTTTTAAAAATCTCTCAAGTAGGGGCTGAAGAGATGGCTCAGTGGAAAAAGCACTTCCCTGGCAAGCACAAGGGCTGAGTTCAATCCCAGTTCTGCTAAAAAAAACAAAAAAACAAAAAAATCTCTCGAGTAATTTAAACTTGATTGCCTCTACTCCTTTAGTCTCTTCTAAGTTTTACACTTCACCCACTTTTTTTCCTTCTGTGATCACAGATTCACCTTTGCTTCTATTTAATACATTTCCTACACTGTCCTTTTATGGACTACATGAACATCTCCCAAATTAGTAAAAATAGTCTAAATATATCATTTGTTGGCATTTACAATGAATAAAAGCTTATTCTTCTACAATAATTAAGGTATTTAGTAAGACAATTTTTTGTACACATTTATACAAGGGAAATAACTAGGATGGTGTTCCTCAAAAGAGAAACTTAATGGTATTCTTAACACGCTTTAGTTTTCTCACTTTAAATATTTAGAATGCCAATAATCTAGCAAAAGCCCTACCCAATATTGGTGTATACATTAAAAATTTGGTACTAAAAGTCTATCCACAGTGGTATGGGTGTGGCAGTCAGTGTGGAGTCAGTTTGAGTGGCTTTGGGACCCACCCCAGGACCAGACACACCTCTGGGTGTTTCATGGGGGTGTGGCCTTGGAGTGGATAGCTAGTCTCTCTACTCTCTGCACTAATTCTGCTATGCAACTACCTGAACTAGCAGCTTCCTCCATCACCGCATGTTTCTGAAGCCTTGTACCCAACAGCCCTTGGGCTGACCCCTGAAAGCATGAGCTGAATCAAAGCTCTCCTCCATTATGCTGTGGGTATGGGTATTTTTGTCCCTGTGAAAGGAAAGTGACTGATACAGGCAGGATTCTAACCACATCTAGTGTTACCTACTGATAAACAGTAGTACTTTTTTATAGGACCTACCAATATTTTCGTTTAGATGAAATTAAACATCTCTAGATGAAATTAAAACTAATCTAGTTGAGATAAAACCCACAATATCTTGAGTACTAAATTTCATCAACCTTTGTTTTATATTTAGGTAATATTGTTAAGAAAGGTAAAAAGATATTCAGGCATGAACAATCCCCACCCCCAGCTGCTCTTTGGTTCTCCCAGAGGTTAAACAAAAGACATAACAACAAAATGAAAAAAAGGAAGTTTTTATTATGCCATCTTTCTATAAGGTACTTGAAATTGTATACTCCAGTCAAAACATACATAAACCATAAAGACTGATTTCTACTCTATCAGTTTCAGCATATGTGGAATCTAAATCTTGTCAGGAGAACTCACCATGAAAGTGAGATTTATATTCTGGGTGGGGAAAGAAAACAAAAAAAATTTTCAGACACCTCACATTTTTCCTTAGTTCCAAAGGTACCACTTGGAAAACAGACGCATGGAACCACATCCAGCCACAACACACATGCATTAACTGTGAATAGTATCACCACAGAATGAAAAAACCGGGCAGCACAACTGGTGTGGGGGAGGAGGTGAAGGAAGGGTTTCATATAAAATTATCTAAAACTTCAAAAATTTCAAACTATAAAAGCATTTTAAGAAAAAATAGAATCAAAGTAAATGCAATGATGTTTATTTCAGTGAAATTATTTTAAATTAGATATATTAAGCCCCCATATGCCCCAACCAGGTAGAAAAGTTCCTCTCAGTGAGAAATCAATTTTAATGGCAAAATGTTTACATATCAGTAAAATCTGTTTTTATTTAAAACTATGTATACAGTACATTTCTGGCAAAAACCTTATACATCTTTCGGTTGTCAAGACAAAGTAAAAATATGGTTGCATAAAATCACAAAAAATATAAATTGCTGAAAAAGATAATAAAAAAGATTAAAAATCATTGTATTGACTCCCCTTACATCTTTATTAGTAAGAATTTGCAAGTTACAGTTTGTGAAAATTCTGTTGCAACCTTGACATACTTGACCAAAAGTTGTCATTTCAAATATTCTAGCTTAAAAAAGAATTTACTGCAGTAGTCTGCAATTATCATACTGTTTATATAAGTGCAATACTTTGAATACCTTCAAAATAAAACTCAGTAACTAAAAAGAATCACAATAACTTATAAAAGAAGCAAAGTTTACAAAATTAACAATTTTAGAGGGTCCTAGTGAATGGGTTCCTCCTTTTATCAGCCCAGCCAGAACAGTTCGTAGATACTCAGTTCTATATACAAATCTGTAGCTTTAAAAATACAGTCTTCTGTTCTTGACATCAGGAACATAATGCTGCACTTAGCCTAAATTAAAACAATAACCCCATCAAGGCCTCACACAGTTGCAAATACAGTCTTCTGCTCATATGTAAATGAAATATCTGGTACTTTATACAGCATTTAGATACAATGTTCAATAGAACAAGCCCTGGACAAAAAGAATCAAGATTTTTGTTTTAAATTCAGTGCATTAGTATAGAGGTACTGGAGTCACCATGAACTCTAGTAACCACTTACGCAAGCTACTACGACAGCTACCATTACCATCTGGTTACATAAGTGCTCCCTGTATTTGACAAGACCACCCTAACATAATAAAAATAAAAATCTTTTACAACAGAAAATGATTAACACACACCAAAGCAATAAAAATATTTTTCCATGCTGGAATAAAACTCAGGAACTTGTATGTGCAAAGCAAGCACTGAGCTACATCCCTAGCCCCAATTTAAGTTAAAATAATATTAGGCAGCCAGAAGTGGTGGCATATGCCTGTCATCCCAGCACTAGAGAGACTGAAGCAGAAGAATCATTGCAAGTTCAAGGCCACCATGTACTACATAGTGAGTTCAAGGCCAGCCTGAACTACATAGTGAGCCCCTATGTCAAAAAATAATAAAAATAATATTAGGCAAATGTGGACAGTAAAATATTTGTCAGCATACACATGATATCAATTTTAGGTGACTTTCAAATTTTCACTTACACTTATGTGATTACTGAGTAAAAAAAAATATGTATGTAAGAGATCTTAAACATCTTCAGACAGTTCCCATAATGCTAACTTTTTAAAATAATTAAAACACAAAACAAATTTGGCCACTCAGAAGAACTTTGATTTGTTCTACATTTCACCAAAATATTAACGTTATATGTGACTAAGTTGATTTAACAAAATCCAATGTGTAAACTTTAATTGGATCCTGGTTAGAAATAATCAGCTATAAAAGCAACTTGAATGATAAATGGGGGACCTCCAAATATGGAATGAAAATCAGACAGTAGGAAGTTACTAAACTTAAATGAACTTACGTTAGTTTTCTTAGGAGGCTCATTTTTAGAAGACACTTTAGTTAAGGAGGATAAATGTGTCTATAACATCCAAGTAGTTCAGAAAAAAGCATATAAACAAATATATATGCTTAACTATAACTTTATATATCTGGGTCTATGAAGAAAATATGGCAAAATGTTAAAGAAATCTAATCTAGATATATAGCACTACTCTACAGTCTTTCAATTTTTCTTCATAAAAAGTTTGGGGGTGGAGGGGATCCAGCTAAGCATTCAACGTTGGTAACACATTTCTTTCTATGCACTGAATCAGTGTAAAATGTCCATCATCAAATGACTAGAGATGTTTGCATACATTCAGTACTGGCTGACATCATGAGCCAAAATTTGTAAAATTGCAAACACATGGTTTATATACATTATATGCAACTCAGCTCTTGAAACAGATCACTTTATAAGAGTATGGGGACCAATTATAAACTTAGTGTGGAGATTTTAAATAAAGTCTAATACCTGACACAACTTATCATATAGTACAGAATTTTAAGAGGAGGACATGAAGTTATCCAGACTGCTACTACTATTGGAAAACACTAGCCATTTGACTTAAGGAGCCCAGAAGACAGTATCACCTATAAAGGTCTATAGGAATTCCAGGCAAATATCCACTGAATAAAGTTACAAAGCAAAAATAGAACACATCAACATATATGAAGGCCTTTATGGTAAATTAATATTCTACAAAGCCCTGTATACACTAATTATAAAATAGCTGAAAATCAAGAGAGCCTGAGAGAGCTAATTCATTGTGTTTACATTATGCTATATGCCCATTGAACAATAACAAATTAATTTACTTCTGCACATTAGGTTTTTAATTAATCATATTCCAATTCTTGTGCAAATTGCATTCCAAAAGGCCAATCCACAGTTATAATTATGTATATATCTATAACTTGATTATACATGTAAGCATTTGGCTATTATTTATTATGCATGCTTATTGCTATCAAAGAAATAAGCAAAGTTTCAGGTTTACTGTGCGAGAATTTTAATTAGATTTGCACACATTTCAAAGAACTCTATTGTATGACTTCCAGGCCTTGGAGTTAAGTCAACAGGAGAAGAATCGAGTGAAGTTACAGATGAGGTAAGAGAAACTTCTGAGGATTTTGCTTGAGCCTCAGCATCTGAGTCACTCCTTTGGCAAGATCGATAGTTACTGATTGATCCCGATCTCTGTGGAGTAGCAGTCCCTGATTTGGCTTCTGTAATTTCATCTGGACAAAAAGAAAATTTTAATTTACTACCATCTGTAACCGCCTCACAATTTTTTCATAGTATTGATATTGTTGATTTAGGTGAAACTGCTGACCAGTTATGCAAAACAAATATCTTCTAAATTGGGGCTACATGCCTAGGTTAAATTACTCAACTTTTTAATTTTTTTTTTTTTTTTTTTTTTTTTTTTGCAGAACTGGGGATTGAACTCAGACCCTTGCACTTGCCAGGGAAGCGCTTATTCTACTGAGCCATCTACCTGGCCTCTAAATCATTTTTTTTAAATATTTATTTATTTGATTCAGGGTCTCACTACCCAGTGCAGTCTCACAATGATCCTCCTGTCTCAGCCTCCCTAGCACGGGGATTACAGGTGAACACCACCACGCCCCATTTCAGGCCTGCACAGAGCGCATGGGGTTCAGGGATCGAGATTGGGTTCTTTTACTTGCCAAGCCGGCACTTAGACCACTAAGCCATTTTTCCAGACCAAACTACTCAACTCTTTAACACACAGCACATATTTTTACAATGGCTAATCAAGGTTAGGTACAAAAATTAGCTATTCATCCATCTATTCATCCATCTTTCAATCAGAGTAAGAGCCCAGTAAGCTAATAACCTAGAGTTCACTAAATAGTCTCTAGCCATGAAAGTTAAAAGTTATAGAATCGGAGGAACTTCCACTCCGGCCCCCCTCCTGTCCCTCTCTTGGACAGGAGCTTTCTTTCTCTCAATAAATATATTCTGCTCATAAAAAAAAAAAAGTTATAGAATCAATTCACCTGAAATATGAAGGTGTCATGGAAATTGCGTCATCCCAGCTTACTTTATTCATATGAAAGAATGCAGAGAAGCTAAGTTATTTATGAAACAGGTAAAGGTAAACCTAAAACCCAACTCCTGACTTCTAAGTTCTTCTACTTAGTGGTTTTCACTCTCCACTTCCACACCATATTTCATTTATAGTCTCATAAGGGCCAACAATTCCAATAATCAAAGTCAAGGAAAAACTAGTTGGGAACAAAATACAAAACAAGCAAATGGCCATTCCATTGAAAAGCCCTGGTGCCAATAAAGATTGCAAACTTAATCCAAATACAAGAGAAAAAACTCTTATGTCAAACTACATGAGTATATATTGCCAGATACATAGTACCTGAACATAAAGACAACAAGACAATCAGTTTTGCTTAATGTATTAGGCTTTTTGGAGCTTGAATTTGTCTTTGTTATGACATATAGATACTCTTTGAATTTGTGAAGAAAAAATTCATGTGAATCTTAGTTATAATTCTATAGTCTTTCATAAACAATGATGCCTCCTTATCTTAACTGACTTAGCCAATGAAAAATAGCCATAACTTTGCGTTTATTTTAAAAATTAGTCTTAAATAAAAACATCAACCTTTATTTCTAAATAGCAAAATACAGCATTTTATCTTACCAAAATGAACCTCACAAAAACACAGAAATAAAGCAAAAACTGATCACTTTAGGACCAAATTATATTTTGTCTTAAAGGATTTAAAAAGACAACATTAAAAGTCCAACACATGATAAGGTTATAAGAATAGCAGTAAGATTTCCAAATGTCACTATCACAAAAGGACAAAATGTCATGCTTCCCATTGCTTTGCTACTGAATTACTAGGAAGAAGTCAAGCAGCTTCGAAAGAAAGACTAACAAGCCATGTTCAGTAACAAGGTCCAAGATGTACATACCATCAATACTACGGAAGTCCAGTAAGTAAGTTCTACTATCCACTTGGTATAACTGTAGACTCATTTTGGAATATGTGCTCGTCACAGGATTCTTCCTTCGCACACGCAAATAATACGGGTTTACAACCTAGCATGTGACAGGAACAAAAACAAATCCTAGTAAGTTCTATAAAAATTTATAGTGTAAATTACAGGCTTCGCAAATGTGTTAATGTTCTGAAGGTCTTTTACCTTCCATTCATAATCCAGTTGTTTAATTGCTCGGCATACTTCTGCCATGATGTCATTTGGCCGGCTCTGGCTTCTGATTCCCAGATGCCACTTCGCTTTCCTTACCCCTTGGTGCTTGGATTTCTGTGGATTTAATTCATCAAGGGTATGCCGTGTTCTTGGCATTTCAGCAACCAAGAATGGCACTCTTTCAGGATGGGGGCGACTCAAATGGTGATCATCAAGAAATGAATCAGGTGGGCTTGTTGCCAAGTAGAAATCTTTGGCTTCATTCATTATTCTCCTGTTATCTATTATGAGGTGGTAGGCAACTGCCAGAGGGTCCTGGTGATTTCTATTATAAAGGCAGCTGAGAACCTCTTCTTCTGAACATTCAAATTTTTCACACACTTCTTTTAAGGCTTCATCATCAATCATGGTTGAACTATATGATGGATCCTCAGGAAAGAGGTATTTTGGAAGGTCCTGTTTAAACCATTCATGTTCCCTGAGAGAAAAGGGTTAGAAGGGTTAGGTTGGGAGAATTTTAAGCAGAATAAGGACATAAAGTAACAAACTTGAGGAGTGTAAGAAATAGACTCATTTATATTATGCCAATACTGTGTTATTACTATCTTGTTTCAAACAAGGATTTTTCATTGCATATACTGAAAATGCTCCAGATTCCCTGATTTTAAGGACTGATGTAGCAATGGAAAAGTCTGCATTTATTTTTTTTAAGTTTAGGAATAAGTGACAATGGCAATGTACAGTCTATTTGCAGTTCAGAAAAAAATTGTATGGCTTCAGTGCTCTTGAATATGTTAAGTGAAAAGAATCTAATAAAAACAAAAACAGTAAACAAGTAGCATTCACTGAGTCATCCTATTTTAGGCTTTATGCTAAATAATTGATATGTATTTTCCCCTCGTCCTTAAAACAATTCATAGAAGATAATAACAACCCCTGTTTTAAATGAAAGAATCGAGTTCATATGCATCAAGGAGCTTGCCCAAGGCCACGAAGTAAGAAGCAGGGCCAGGATTTGCAACCCAGCTTTCTGTGGCTCAAAGGTCACACCATGATTTCCTTTTCCTTTTCTTTTTCATTTATTTTTTGGTACAGGGTCTCAGTCCGCAGCTCAGACTCCTAGCGACCCTGTTGTTTTCTGCCTCCTCAGCGCTGGGATTACAAGTGTGCACTACTACAGCATATGGGACCATAACTTCCTTTTCCAATTTCCTAACTTCACATACAAAAGGCTGTATTTGACCTGAGCAATGTCAAAAACCTGTGTTCTAAAGTTAAAAGAAAAAAAATCAAGAGGAAAGCACAAAAGACTAATGATTACTTTCTCTTGCCGGTATTTTTCTAAATGTTTTCTGATTGTGATATATTACATTTCAAATGTAAAAAAAAATGTAAAATCAAGTAAATACATTTCTCAGTTATTTTACAATATACATTTTAGGGAATGATTTGTCCTTCTAGTAATAAAATCATGCCCTAACCTGCACAGGCTCTTCTTTAGCTAGTCTTTCAGCACACTAGTAAGTAAAAGTCAATCAAGGTTAAATGCTACATAAAATCCTCCTCTTCTTGATTATGCTAATTATTAACTATTCCTGTATCCACATGATTTTTCTTCCTTCTCCCTCCATCCTAGAGAAACATGTAATCTAACCATTAGAAGACCAAAAGAGGGGCCAGAGAGATAGCTTAGTGGTCTAAGCACCTGCCTGGCAAGCAAAGGACGCAGGATTAAACCCTAGCATGGGTGCCACATGCTGTGGCAGCCCCACCCTGGGTGCTGAGCGGGCCACCAAGACCAGGCATGATGACGCATGCCTGTAATCCCAGTGCTGGGGAGGCTGAAACAGAAGGATCACTGCAAGTCCAAGCTGTGTACTGAGACCCTGTACCAGATGCATTTTTTAAAAAGAGTGTTTCTAACAGGTGAGTAAAAAGGAAACAATAGTAGAAAAGTTTGCAGTGAGCATTTTAAGTCTTCATCAGAAATGGCTCACCTAAATAAATTTTGGAAGTACCTATGTCCCCATCACATCTGCCTTACTTAAACTATTAGGTTGAACCATATGAAATGCAACTTTTACCTAAAGAACAGCAATTTCATGTGATTCACATATACTAAGAGAAACATATCATTAGGCAAAATTTTCCATTCTTGAGGTTAACAAAAGGGGAAAAAAAAAATCAGAACTTGAAGAGCATCAGAAATATACTACTGAAAAGTCTGACCCTAACAAGACTGCATTAAAGTGAAATCTGAAGCAGATAACAGAAAATCCTCACAGCCCACCATCCAATTTTATTAATATCTGTTGTGGTTTATACCTAGATACCCTGCCAAAGCCTTGTGCTCCTAGGAGTGGCTTTATGGAGGTGGCTGGATCTAGAGTGTGTAAATATGGATCAAAGATATACAAGAGCTAGATTAGTTTAGCACAATGGTGTGGATAATGAAGGCCCACCCTGAGTGTGGGTAGAACTGATCAACAAATTTGTAGCCCAGATAGAATATAAAGGGACAGAAAGAAGACAGGCCTGCTACCCTCTGCCTTCCTGCTTGCCACGCCATCGACTGTTGTCTGTGGTGTCCCTCTGCCACACCACCCTGACATGGAGCCAGCTAACTAGGGACTAAAACCTCCACAAATTCTGAACTAAAATACAGCTCCCCTCCTTTGATTTGTACCTGTCAGGTATTTTATCCCAGCAACAAGAAAATAACCAAGACAACATCCTACCAGGATTCTTTTTATTTTTTCATTAGCTTTTTTAGTGTTTTTGGTTTATTTTTTACAATGCTTGGTATCAAACCCAGGATCTTGTGACTGCAAGGTAGCACTCAACCATTGAGGTACACCCCTAACCCATCAATAGCAATTTTAAATTTAGTACCTAAAAATAGAGCCCAATCACAGAGTGCTTGCCTAGCATGCATGAGGACATAGGTTCAATCCCCAGTACTGCAAAAAATAAAAAACAATAAATAAAGTAATATAATGATCACTGTAAGAATTTGAAAACTAGGCTGCATATAAAAATTAAAAGGCCTCCCACCTAACAATCTTACTTCCATAAATAATGTTTAATATATTTTAATACCAAAGTAAAACAAACGTGTTCCTACACTATATTTTTTCAAGGAAAATTAGGATTATACTGTATATTTTGTTCTACAACTTTTCTGTCCCTTAACTTACCACATAAGTACTATATGAGATCTGATAATTTCCAAATTGCTTTATTTTTATTTTTTTATTTTTATGTTTTTTGGCGGAACCAGGGATTGAACTCGGGTCCTTGCGTTTGCCAGGGAAGCGCTTATTCCACTGAGCTATCTCCCCGGCCCCGATTTTTATTTTTTTAATAAAAACAACTCTACATTTATTGGCCTTCAGTGAAGACATAAGGGTAGTCAAAACAATATGAATAAATGTTTTACAAACACTCCCAGGGCAAGCCACTTAAACAGCTGCCTTTTTTACATAACATCCTAATTGCCATTTCTCAGTTCCCTGCTTTAGTTCATTATCAGTTCTAGCTGGAGACACTTTGTAGCAGAATAATGCTATCTCCTTTCAGCATGACCCGACCCAGTTGTTTTCTTGACTTTGTTTTAGAATGAATTTTTTCTGCATCATCTAATACAAGGTTCCTGTACTCATCAAAATCAATAATATGGCCCTCTCTCTACACATTCACTTGCTCATACGGCCACATCGGGATCCAGGACCTATTCTGCAAGCATCTGAAAAGAAGGCTGATGGGCTACACCACCACGTTCTGCGCTTTCTGGCCCTGACCTCGGTACGCCATGGCAGACTGACCCCAAATTACTTTATTACCTGATATCTTTTATTGTGGCCCTCTTCATGGGATCTACTTGCAGCATATGTTTCAGAAGGCTAATCACAGAAAGATTTAAATACTGAGGGGTATAAAAAATCCCATCACATATCTTCTTAAAAAGAGTTGGCACATGATCATCATCAAATGGAAGGGTTCCGCATAATAAAGCATACAGAATAACTCCACTGCTCCATATATCTACCTCTGGGCCTGCATATAATCTGTAACAAGAAACAACCATGTCATGAAACAATAATATCAGACTCAATCAATTAATCAAAAATTTCAAACATAAGTGTTTCATAAAGTATTAGTACTTAGAATATGGTTTTATAGCCACTGTTGCATGTTACACATAAAGTTCTTAATTATATCAATATTATTTTTGAAAACAAAAGTAAAGACATTTTATAATTTGTGTACCATGGATAAAATTTCATTCTTACTACCTTACATGATATTCAAAGGATATGACATTCCTAATTCATAATATGATAATTAGATTACCAACAATGCTGAATCTTGAACAGATCACTATTAGATATTAAAGCACTGCTTTCTGGTTACAAAGGAATAATTGAATTCTTTAGTGACAGACTCTTCCACAATAACTAAAGTCCCCTACCAAGGTAAAAAGAGCTTAAGGTTGTGGAAAGAAGTCAAACTAAATGGTTCACAGGGAAAAAAAAGTTATGCTTTGAGTCCTAGGGATTAAACTTAGGGTCTTCACACTAAGCTACATCCTCAGCCTTTGCTTTTTGTTTTTTGAGAAAGGATGTCGCTAAGTCACAAATTGCTAGTATAAAATGCCATCTCTTTGAAAAATTAAAGTTATATGTTACATCACACTTTTTTCTTCATATACTGTCTTATCTATATTTACTTGTTTAGGTTTCTCTGGGGTTTTGGAGACAGGTTCTCACTATATAGTTTAGACTGACCTTAAATGTAACTGGATAGCCCAGGCTACAAGCTTGAGACGAGCCTCCTGCTTCAGCTTCCTGAGTGATGGGTACACAGGTGTTAACCACCATATCTAGCCCACTACTTTAAAACTGACTGGCTTTAAATTTAACATCTTCTACCAGTGGGAAATTATTCTCTTCTAATATAACATTGATTTGCAGAACAACCTTCGTTTCTATGAAGTCGTTAACCTTACTAACTGTAATGTTGTATCTTAAAAAAATAATAATTCCAGATTAGAAAACAATAAGCCTTGTATGTCTTTTTTTTTTTTTTTTTTTTAACTAGAATATAGCATAGATAAATGTAGGAGAAAACAACAATCGCAAATGTACTGGGGATAGGAAGTGTCAAACACTACCTTCCTGAAATTACTTCTGGTGCAGCATAGTTGGGTGAGCCACAACTTGTCCTTAAAAATTCACCATCTGACATCATATTTGAAAGACCTGAAAGTGCATAAAAACAGCTACTCAAAGACTTCCCAAAGACAAACACAGAAATGAAACACCATTAAACAAGAAAACTGAATTTGCACTGAAGTGATAAATTATTCTACTTTTGTTTCAACAAGTCAGTCTTTATTCCCAAATGTGTAATTTCAAAGGTTAAAGTCAGTGTATTGCTGGAGCTTAGTGAATAGATTTTAAACCACTGGATATTATGCTTACTAGAATAAAATGCATGTCTGTTTTTCTTTTTGAATTTTTATTTACTTATTGGTACAGGGTCTCACTACACAGCTCAGACTCCTAATGATCCCTTTGTCCCTTTGTCTTAGCCTCCCCAGCACTGGGATTACAGGCATGCACCACCATGCCCAGTTTCTGAGCCAGCATGTCATGCCATACTAGGGATCAAACCCAGAACCTTGTGCTTGCCAGGCAGGCACTCAGACCACTGAGCTATCTCCCAGCCCTGTTTTTCCTTTTGTTTTGAGACAGAATGTTTCCATGTAGTCCAGGCTGACCTTGAATTCATAGTTCTGCTTCAGCCTCCAGAGTGCTGAGATTAAAGACACAAGCACCCACGCCTGGCTTGTTTTAATTTTATTCAGATAAAGAACACCAGAGAGGGGCCGGGGAAATGGCTCAGTGGAATAAGCGCTTCCCTGGCAAGTGCAAGGAATACCTGGTTCCGCAAAATAAATAAATAAATAAATAAATAAATAAATAAAATTTAAAAAATGAAAAATTAAGGGGCCAGGGAGATGGCTCAGTAGAAGTGCTTGCCTAGCAAGCACACAGGCCTGAGTTCAATCCCCGGTTCCACCAAAAAACAATTCTTCCTGTTAATTTATCCTAAAAAAATAAAAAATAAAAAATTCACCTTGGGGCTGGAGAGATGGCTCAGTAGGATAAGTGCTTGCCTGGCAAACATAAGATCCTAAGTTCAATCTCTGGTTCCGCCAAAAAAAAAAAAAAAAAAAGAACACCAGAGAAAATAATCTCAAATAAAAAGATTAAGTTTCTATTAACCCTGTTCTGATTCTTAAAAAAAAAAATGTTTACAAGGCAGTAATGTTGAATCTGAAAATTCCCTCATAGTTTTACTCCAAAAAGAAACAGCTATTCATACAGAAATGCACAGTAGTCAGGGATATAGCTCAGGGGCATAGTACCTGCCTGACAGGCATGAGGCTGTGAGTCTGAGTTCGATGGGTGGTGGGGGATGATGATACACACTCTATGAAGGTAACCAAGAGCCCAGTCAGGTGGCACATACCTGTAATCCCAGCACAATGGAAGGCTGAGGCAGGAGAATCTTATTTTTAAGACCAGCCTAAGCAACTTATCAACTGTAGGGAGACCCTGTCACAAAACATAAAGGACTGGGGATGTAGCTCAGTATAAAAGCCCTTGGTTCAAGCCCCAGTACAAGGAAGGAAAGAAAGGAGGGAGGAAGGAGGAAGGAAAAAACAAGAAGAGAGGGGAAAAAAAAGACAGTAATGATAACTGAGGATAAAGGAAGTTAAATAATTTAGTTAAAAAATAGAAAAGGCCTGAGTGTGGTGGTATACACCTGTACTCCAAGCACTTGGGAGGCTGAGGCAAGAGGATATCCATAAGTTTAAGGCCAGCCTGGTCTACGTAGTGAGTTCATGGCCAGCCTGAATTACAGAGTTCTTGTCTTGAATGAAAAAGTGGGGGGAGAGGGAGCAAGAAAGAGGGACAGAGAGAGAGGGAGGGGGGAGGGGAGGGGG